AAAAATTTATATTCTTGCACGTTCTTTTTTTAAAATTAACAGAAAATTTTATTATTATGAGTAGTAATTTTTAACATTTTAATTAAGTGAAAAATTAAAAAAAAATATTTTTATCTGTTAGCGACTAATATTTAATTTTTTTCCACGTCACCCTCTTTCCGTACCGAAAAGAGACCTGAAAGCGAGTACACCGACGCGCTTAAGATTTTATGTCTTGTTAGTCTTCCTTCCATTTAAGTTTTATTGGTCGAATGGTTGGTTACAAGTAACGGCAAAAATCGTTTTTACTTTTCCTTTCCGTTTAATATTTTGCATTTTATTCTATCCCACATGAAACAGCAAAATATTGTTAATGGAGGTACGAGTGGTGACAGTAATAACCTAAATTTTCATTCCTTAATTTAAAAAATTTCTAGTCGGTGGGGCCTCCATTCCCGCTTGCCACGTCTACCCCTCCTTAGTTCCCTTCGCTTTCGGGTTTTTCTTTTCTCCTCCCTCTTTTTGTTATACAAATTTCTTTTTCTTCTTCTTTTTCTCTGCTCCAACCAACTCTCACACCTCTCATCTGATGTTTTCTCGCGCTTTCTCTCTCCCTAATTCTTTTTTCTCGAGAATCTTCAATCATCCTCAAAACATTTTTTCGTTTTCTTTCGATTCGAAATCCAAATGCATGTTTTTCTTGATTTTGTTAGGTGACGTTGAACGGCAGTGAGGAAATATAATTAAAACTTGGAAGTAATTAATTAATTAAGGATGGAAAACGCCGACGTAACCAACGGAGTTTGCTCGTCGGAGTCGGTGAATGGGAGTCGCGATGTTTGGAGTTGTAAAGATTCTGATTCTTTATCAGCTGATCATCTTGTTATCATGGTCCACGGAATTCTCGGCAGGTCCTTTAAAAAGAAGATCTTTTTGTTAGAATTTTGAGATATTTAATTTAATCATGTTTGTTCTTTTAGACTGGATTTTAGGGTGCTTGATTTAGTTTAGTTATTGCTTAGCTTTGTGTTATTATTAATTAGTTGTTTTTTATGTCCTAATTATACACATATTTTCTGCTTGGTTTAATTGTAATCGGTTTAATTTGAAGTGATTAAATTATGTTTTCGTGATTTTGAGATTAACTCAAAAAATGCTGGATTTGAACTGAAAAATTGTTAGGTTTGACTTTTGTTTATAGCCCCAATAGCTTTGTTCTGTTGTAGCACGATCATTGCATCATTTCCAATTCACATGGAATTTTTGAAATTCTGTCGTGTTCATTCGTGTTAATTTCTTCTTGGGCCTTTTATTACAATTATGAATATTATTAAAAATTCTCCTGAAATTTGGCCGTGACTGTATGCTTGATTGTGCAGTTCTTCAGATTGGAAGTTCGGAGCTGAGCAATTTGTTAAAAGGCTACCCGATAAAGTATTTGTCCATTGTAAGTAGTTGCATTTTTTTAAGTACCATTTTTAGGAGAATAAGGCTTTCCTGTTTTGCTTGTGCTTGTTTCTGCCTTCTTATGTTCGATGCTTGTTCATATCGTCTTTAGATTGTAGGGGATGGTGGTATTAGCAGCATTCATAGTGTTATCAAAAACCATTAATTTGGTTTTCTGCTTTGGGCTAAACCACTCTTCTAAACATTTCTTTTTAATTTTTTAGTAAGCTATGTATTGAAGTTTTTGAGATCAGAAATGTTGATGTTTAAGTTTCCGGCTGGAGTATTTCTGCTTGAATTTGCTTGGTTGATTAACATGTTGTGCAGGCAGCGAACGGAATATGTCTAAGCTGACTTTAGATGGTGTAGATGTAATGGGTGAACGACTGACAAAGGAGGTTAGCACATATTTGATAATGACCCTATTTAAGTTGTCAAAATCAATGAAATTTATTACTTTTAATATGAGAGCATCAATTGCATATTCTGATTTGTTCTTGACAAAAATGTTTGAATGCTAGGTCCTTGATGTTATTCAAGAAAAGCCAAATTTACGCAAGATCTCCTTTGTTGCCCATTCTGTTGGAGGACTGGTTGCTAGATATGCAATTGGGAGACTCTATAGACCACCTAAAGAGGAAGATAAAGAGGATATGTCCAGTAATGGGTGCAAAGAGGAACCAAGGGGTACAATTGGTGGCTTGGAGGCTATGAACTTCATCACTGTTGCATCTCCTCATCTTGGTTCAAGGGGCAATAAGCAGGTAGCTTTTCTGTATTAACAAATGTACGTGCATGTAATAGCCAAAACACATCTCTCTCTCTCTCTCTCTCTCTCATGTGTGCCTGTGCTTGCACACACAAAGTATCACTATGTCCTAGGAGTTCATTCCAACATTATATGTGGTGATTACAGAGTGTGTTCTCTAACTTATTGCTTCTAAAGGTTGTTATTTTAGCTGATGGGTTGTGTTTACTGCAGTAGTTTGTTGATTTTAGCATATGTTGTGTTTATTGTAAAACAAAATACTTTGGTTTTGTTATGACTTATTTTGCTTGAGTATGTGATATATTATTTCTCATCAGTGTTGGTATGTCAAGGATATTAGCCATTATTGGAATATCTTGACTTATTGTCTCAGTAAAATGTTTGTTTCCAGGTACCATTTCTTTTTGGTGTAACTGCTTTTGAGAAAGCTGCAAGTTGTGTTATTCATTGGATATTTAGGAGAACAGGTCGGCACCTTTTTCTTACTGATGATGATGAAGGAAAGCCTCCACTGCTTAAGTGGATGCTGGAAGATTATGATGAGTTTTATTTCATGTATGCAACTTTCACCTTTGTGTAAATTGCTTTCTGTGTAATGTTACTTGAGATGTCTTATAAGGAGGCCTGGACCGGTAAAACAACTAAAATAGTAGTAAATTCATCTATGCAGGTCTGCATTGCGTATGTTCAAGCGTCGGGTGCTGTATTCGAATGTGGGCTATGACCGTATCCTTTTTCCATGATCTGTTTAACTCTTTTTAGTTCCAACTTTCAACTTTGTGTTAAATTTGATTTTATTTGTTTTTGTTAATGAAATATTGTAAAGACATTGTGGGCTGGAGAACATCATCAATAAGACGGGATAGTGAACTGCCAAAGGTATTATCATCTTTGTGAACTTTTTTCATTTGACTTCATGTTTGCAACTCTTTTGGTTATAAATTGAAGACCAAACATCTGTCGTGTTATTAGTGGGAGGAGTCTCTAAATGAAACATATCCACATATTGTGTATGAAGAACACTGCAAGGCCTGTGATATTGATCAGTATGAAGATATTTCAACAGAGGATGACGGCTCATCTGACAAGCTAGAAGGTATACAACCTTAATTTCTGACTTGAGAAGAAACTGCATTTTTGCTAAAGTGTAGTTTGTTTGTGTTGGTTGCCTTCAGCCTTTTTTTTGCATCTTTTATTCCGTATGTTTCGTATTTCTCTTTCTTCTTCCTAATTATTTTCGAAGTCCTTGCTTTATTCCAATGAATTTAATTGCCATTGCATCTAAATGGTTCTATTCTCTTCGTAATGAATTATCCATGAGTAATGGTACTTACTTGCCTGCTTTTTTCCCCTATTACTCTATATTACTTTCTTTTAATGGTTTCCAAATTTTACAACTCCATTAATTAGACGATGTTGTGCAGAGGAACTGGTGAGGGGCCTATCCCGAGTATCATGGGAAAAAGTAGATGTCAGTTTTCACAACAGTAGACAGAGATTTGCTGCTCATAGTGTCATACAGGTCTCTCTTTCTCTCTCGATTTGGAGCTAAGAAAAAGTTTGGACACCATTTATGGGATCATTTCTGTAGTTCAGAAAAATTTTTATTTCTTGGAAGGAGCAAGTTCCCACTATGCACTTTTTGCAGGTTAAAGATGAAGTTATGCATATAGAAGGTGCAGATGTCATCCAACATATGATCGACCATTTTCTCACTTGAAAACCTGTGGTCTTAGAAATACACATCTTATGCAACTGGGATACGACATTCTCTTAGGTGAGTGAAGATTATGTTGCTAGTGAGATCAGATCTCCTATTCCTGGACTGTTAAGTGAGTGCTTGAAATCCCATTGGTTGCAGTTGAATGGATCACCACTTCCGTTGGTTCTCAGCAAGCATGGCTATGGCAACTGTGATTATAATTCCAGCAGTCATGAAGAAATTTTGTGCATTCATTAATCATTATATGTTGTATACATGTGCACGTTCAGCAATATATGCCAACAGTATATGCTTGCCTTTACTTCTTTTTGCGTTATGTGCTGTAAAGAAATTATTTTGGCAATTTACAATTCACATGGCACTCGGAAGCGCCGACACAAGAATTTTTTGATGCATTGATAAGCCTTGGCTAATAATAGAGTTGAAAACTTTGAATGGAAAATATTAGAATTTGACCAAATTATTGGTATGACCAAAGCAGACATAAAAATTGCAAAATTCTTGATTTATTATTATTATGATAAAAGGAAAGAATTACCACTTGTTTATTACTTTATAAATTTAAATGCTATAGATAATAATTATTCATCTTTTTCTTTTTTTGCTGTAAGTATTCACATTCAAAGTCACTGAAATTGAATATGATAAGGATTCAAAATTATTAGATTAAAATAATTTTTTCAATTTATCATTAATTATTTTGTAAGTTGTGCATTGCGTAGGTTGGCTCTTAGTAATTAAAAAAAAATCATAGTGCATGTAATAAAAAATAGTTAAACATGAAAGGAAAAAGAAAAAGAAAAACAACTATGATTTTCATGTGAGAAAAAGCAAGAGAAAGAAAGAAAAAAAAATAGAAAAACAAGCAAAAATAAAAAATAAAAAAAATTATTGTGAAGAAATATAAGTGTTGTGGATTTAAAACTTTTTCACATGTCAGGTTGAACTTTGAAAAAGAAAAGAAAAGAAAAGAAAAAATATAGTCAAAATGTTGACCATTCCTAATTGGACTGCCTATTGCAGAGCTAGTCAATGTAACGAACTTGAGTCCCGTACGACAACCCCTCCCCTGTTTCTTGCTTTTTTGTCCTAAGCATATCTTAACTGTTAAACTCGCGCTAAGACACTCGCTGTAAACACTACTATTTGCTTACAGTCTTTCAAAATTTGTTCGATGGATTTATCGATTCCCTCTCCTCTCTCCAAAGCTTATCCTCCTTCAACGTTCCTCTCCAGTCAATCCCATAAGTTGCCGCCATCTCCATGTGTCCATTACTTGAATTTCAAGTCCCGAAACTCCTCCCTCAAAAATACGTTGGTTTCCCGCCAAACCCTGCCAATCAGAGCTCAGCTTTCGGATGAGACGGTGGATGACGGGTTTGTCCTGGATGACGTCCCTCACTTGACTAATTTCCTCCCTGATTTGCCGGTAATCACTGCATTTTAAGCTTCTATTTGATTTTTTTTTTTTGCTCGCGTGACTTTAATTAATACTTCGTAGTTTGGAATTATTTCAGTTGGAGTGGTGTAGAGAAAAGTGTTCTCTTAATGATTTGGAGTTTTGGAGTCCAATTATTTTTGGTGATATAGTAGAGAAAAGAAGTGAAGAGAAAATAGAGGGGAAATAAAGAGCCGAATTGAAAAATATAATTGGCTTTGAAGCAGGCCCTTCCCTGCTTCTTTGGATAGATTATATCTAATTATCAAAAATAAATTAAATGTAATTGGATTTAAGTGATCGGAAGTAAAAATGATATGAAGTTATGGGTATGAAACAATTGAGCCACTTTTAAGCCATGAATTTAAGAACTTGGAAAGTATTTAAATAAAAAAGTGTCAATATGTTAAGCCATTTCTTTGTAAAATCACTTTTTTAGATATTTAAAAAGTGCATTACAAGAGATAGTGTCACCTAAAATCTGAATTTGCTGCTTTTATTTTGATTTCCCTTCTTCAATTAGTTATCAGAAAAAGACAACTGTAGTATACTTCTCGGGATATCACTTGTCTTCACTTCCATCTAAACTTACAATTTATTCTGTTGCCCGAATTGTTGATAACCGTGCTATGATTTTGCATTTGGTTTTTTAGGTTCTAACACTGCTTCAATTTGTTCAAATTCTTGGTTTTGTAATTCTTTTCTTTTATAAAATTTATCTTTTTGTTTTTCTTTTCAGTCATACCCGAATCCTATACAAAAGAGCCAAGCATATGCTATCGTCAAGTAAGTTCATTTATTTTTGGTGAAGTTCTCTTTATAATACCATGTATCTTCATTGTGGTCAATAAGTTTCTATTCCATCGTCATTATTCTTTAATCTGCTGTCTTGCCAGGCAAACTTTTGTCCGTCCAGAAGATGCGGTTGCTCAGAAGGTAAGTAACAATAAAAGAAAAAAGAAGAAGAACACAGCCCCAATTGTATTGATAAATTTTATCCTATCTGATTCTGACCCCACAATGGTAAAATTATCACTGGGGTAATGGCTTATTTGTTTCCCTTCTTAGTTAATTGCATTTGTCTTGTTTAGATTGTTGTTCATAAGGATAGTCCCCGAGGAGTACATTTCCGGCGTGCAGGGCCACGAGAAAAGGTATATTTTCTTATGGAGACACCATCATATGCCCTCTTGACATGGGATCGCTGATCTATTTAATGCATTTTTGGTTGTAGGTCTATTTCAAATCAGAGGAAGTGCGTGCTTGCATAGTAACTTGTGGGGGTTTATGCCCAGGGATCAATACAGTCATTCGGGAGATAGTTTGTGGCTTGAACTATATGTATGGTGTTGATGATGTACTTGGCATTCAGGTGAGTTCATTTAATATTACATTTCCTTTGCTGAAGTGGTTTTCTCTTATTCTTCAAATATATCTTCTGTTCATCTTTCCTATTTTCATTTTTAAAATTTGCAAATGAGCCTAGTTTCTAAAATCCAAAATCCTATTAACCATTTTTCAGTTTTCAACAAGGAAGACAATATGGCATTCTATGGATATAATATATCTCCATTTGAATTATTATATTTCTTAAGGGTTATAGTTTGCAGATTGATATTTTAATTATTGATTTTGAGTCAGACTTTATCTAGTTTCTTAGCCAGGAATTTCAATTTCATTTGACATGTAACAAGGTGCAGATTTGTAATAAACAATATGGCAACTATCAGTCTGAGTTATTGTTTATTACTCTGTTCCAAGAAAATCTTCATGCTATTGCTAGCAGGGCTTCTGCATGTGGCATGTTATTGGCTGATACAGGCCATAAAGACTGGCTCCTTGGCAACTGGAAGAACCATTGACTAGTCCATCTGTTTTCAGTACATGATTTTTTTATTTGAATTTCTTTCAAGTGGTTCCCTATGATTGATTCTCATAATTAATGGGACTGTGGTTTCAAAAAGAGTTAAAAGAAAAGCTTCTTGTTCTCTATATTCCTGAGTACATTTTACAGTTTGCTTTGCAATAATTCTTCTTCTTTTTAATTATTTTTTTTGCTTCTATTAGTCTTAGCTTACGTTCTTTATTGCTTGTATTAATGTTTAGTTGTTTGCAACTTTGTTTCATCATGGTACTATTGAAACTTCTAGGGAGGATATAGAGGCTTTTACTCTAAAAACACCTTGCCATTAACACCTAAAGTTGTGAATGATATCCACAAACGTGGTGGTACTTTTCTTCGCACTTCACGAGGAGGTCATGATACCCACAAGATTGTTGATAACATCCAGGACAGGGGAATCAATCAGGTAAACAGCTGCTTTCTTGTCCATAACATTAAGGTCTTTTGCTAGTGGGTAGCTTGTGATAGTATCTTTCAGTGGAAGAGAAAGTGTACAAAGATTGATTCCTCTATGGATTTCAGGTTTATATTATTGGAGGAGATGGTACCCAGAGAGGAGCAGCTCGGATTTATGAGGTAATCAGTGCTTTGAATATAAGACCATTCCTATTACTTAGGTGTACCCGTCAGGCAACTTTTAGAATTTTTTTTTTATTTCTTCCTTTCTTGGTTTCTTATGGGCATATTTTCTTCAAGGAAGTTGAGAAACGTGGTCTTCAAGTAGCAGTTGCTGGCATCCCCAAGACAATTGATAATGATATTGCAGTAAGTTCAACCACATTATAATTGTTGAAAGATATAAAATGGTTATTTTATAGTACCCATCACCACATTTCTTAATGTCTAGAAATGTTTGAGAAACTTTCACTCAAAAAATATTGGAAGAAAAGAAGTACAGTTTCTTGTCGCATTGTCTGCCATCACCAAATTTATTAAAATCTAGAAATGTTTGAGAAAATTTTACTCAAAAAATATTGGAAGAAGAGAAGTGCAGTTTCTTCTTGCATTGTCTAGTGAGTGATGGAGTCACCTTAAAATGCTATTCATTAGTATGGATGACCCTCTTACAAGCCGTAAAAGATAATACCATACTGATTTCATGTGTTGTGGGAAACAAAGCAATTATACACACACACACACACACACACACACATGCACACATACATAACTTACATGCATACATACATACATGTGTGCTTGTAATGGTTTCAAGGGTTTAGAGTTTGTTTGTGCTTCAGAAGTCTCTAAGCCCTTTTACAGCTTTGTTTTGGTAATTGTTGGGTATGATAAAAAGAACTAAATTATGTTTTACTTTTAGGATTGTTTAACTATATCTATGCACCTATCATTTGGCTTTAAGAGGTCCTATCTCAAATGACTTTTTACTTTTTAAAGACTTCCATCCAAAGATGTTAGTATTCCTGGGTGAACACAAATGAAGATGCATTCTGGGTATCTGAAGGTCAGGACGGAGTGTAAAGCATTTAAAAGTTTTAGCTAAAGAGAGGACCTCTTATTATAAGTGTTGACTGCTAATGTTGTTCATCTTTCATCTGTTTCTCTCTATTATATTCTCTATGTTCATTCACAATCTCTTTATTTGCAAAAATTTGACCATGATGGAGTATATTTAATGCTTGTAGATGCTTGTTTTGGTTACTAACTTATTACTTCTCTAA